TATTTCTAATTCCAACTTTTGAAGGAATCGCCATATTGCTTTCCACAATGGTTGTACCATTTTACAGTCCCACCAGCAGTGTATGAGTGTCCCAATCTTTCCACAACCTCGCCAGCATTTGTTATTTTCTGTCTTGTTGAACTTTGGAGAGTTGCTCTTATTGCTCATTATGTGTCAAGTCTGACACATGTATAAAAGTTGTTGTAACCACATAAAAGTGTGGCTCTTTCATCTTTGGTAATCCATTTCACTATAAGTTCTTTATGTACTTTGACATAGCTCTGAAAATATAAGTGGTCTTGCTTTTTCACCCTGCATTCCAGAAACTATACACATTCTTAAGTTCAATGAGGAAAAGTAACTGAGCCTAAAATTGCATGCCAAATGACTAATCTTTGGTCTTTATTTCAGATTTGGCGGCGAAGATTTTCCACCTTTTATCCTGTTTAAAATTTTTCTTCATACCGAAGGTCATGGTTGCAAGTATATTAGTGGAAAAAATATAATGAAGTCATCAAATGAGGTGATGTCTCATGATACAAATATTAATTTAGCAGCTTCACATCTATGTAGCATCTGAATTGCATGTGAAGTATGCACACTAAGTTATTTCACCATTAAATAGCCTTCCAGGCAGGTAGTATGTTTAAACTAATGCTATGTTTCAGAGTGTCTCCATTTATTAGTTAAAAATATTTAGAATTAATTATTTATATAAGGTCCTAGAAAATATCCATCCATTTTCTTTTTTTGGTTTATTAGTAACGAACTAAAGTGGCCTATGGGCCAGGGATTTTTAGCCACATTTTTAAAATTATGCAGACCATTTGGTGCTATTTTATTTGTTTTAATATAATGGAATTTTGTCATTATTTCTTTGGTTCTGATAACATATTTGGAAAAAAATGTGCTGGACTATGCTACTGAAAAGGAACATTTGAAATTTTTATCCTAAATTTAAATACATAACTTAATTGTGCTCATGAGGAACTTGTACATAGACCAAGAGCAAGGGGATACTGAATGGTTTAAAATCAGGAAAGGTGTGTGTCAGGGTTGTATCCTTTCACCAGGTTTATTAGATATGTATGCTGAGCAGATAATCTGAGAAGCTGGACTATATGAAGACAAACATGGCATCAGGATTGGAGGAAGGCTTCTTAACAACCTGCGATATGCTGATGACACAACTTTGCTTGCTGAAAATGAGGATGGCTTGAAGCACTTACTGATGAAGCTCAAAGACCACAGTCTTCAGTAGGAATTATACTGCAACATAAAACAAAAATCCTCACAACTGGACCAGTAAGCAACATCACAATAAATGGAGAAAAGATTGAAGTTGTCAAGGATTTAATTTTTCTTGCATCCACAATCAGATATTGTATTACGCTGGGCAAATCTACTGCAAAAGACCTCTTTTTTTTTTTAAAAAAAAAAAAGGAGCAAAAATGTGACTTTGAAGACTAAGGTGCACCTAACTTAGGCCATGCTATTTTCAGTCACCTCATACGTATGTGAAAGCTGGCAGTGAGTAAGGAAGACCAAAGAAGAGTTGATGCTTGCAAAAAGGGCAAGGAGGCACCATCTTCTAACCTCTTCTAACCCCACAAGAGGAAGACAGAATCACCATCAATAGCCCAAGGCCTATTACTGCAAAGCCAGACATGCTGCCTCCCTCCAGTCCTTTCACCAACTGTTTCTCCCAAAGCACTCACCATCTTTCTCCTGGGTTCGATAATTCACTGCAGTGGCCACAAAGAACTCACAGATTATGGGGTTTATTAGGGAAG